TTAGGCTTGTTAGAATCAGGTCATTGAGAGGATCATTTTGGTAGTTAAATCATCCAAATTGGTTTAGTAGATCAAAAAATATATAATATTAAAATTTTTTATTAATTAATATATAAATTTTTTGTACAATTTGATCGGCTAATAAGGTATCAGGTGTGGGTAGGTGGGGGTAGCCTCTTAAGAGATGGAAATCACCTGATTTCCGGCAGCTCCCTTAAGGAATAAATTTGTCTTTGTACTAATATTTTGGAATAAGAGAAATATGAAAGTATACCTTTTCAGATTGCAAGAAAACACAAACCAATAACGACAAACAACTCCACTATCAAATAATAAAATATATGAAAGCTATTCTTTAGCAATACTATATTTTGTCTAGCATGTGACCTATGCTCAATTGATCAAACTTCCCAAACTTCTTCAACTAAAGAATCATCAATTCCTTTAAGAAGTTTATCAAGACATATCTAACAAAAATCATATTCAAGTTTAATTGACCTATTTTCAACCATATTTAATGTTAAATTAGATATTAGTTTTTCTGCTATAATACATGACTGCTTCATTCATTTGGTCAATATGTAGTTGTAAAATTTTAGGCATTATATATTTTTGTAAACTATTATAAATATTTAAAAAAAGTTAGCCAAAAACACTTGGTGCTATATATGATCTTGTTTTATCATGCCAAACAGAAAACAAACTTGTAAATTGTTCTTTTGCTACACACATTTCAATTCATTTAAAAAGAATATAAAGCTGGGTTTGTTCATTTACAGTTCTTTTAATCATGCTATTTAATGATTCAGATCATTGTATAGATGTTATGCCTACTATAAAAATTTGACTAGTAAATGCTTTCGCTCAGGTTGTTTTTATGAATCAAGCTGTTTAAGTAGATTGTGAAAAATTAATCATTAGTTGTTTCCAATATCTCTCAAATACTTCTTTGTATTGAATATTTCGAGTATGATAAAATGCCTTGAGAAAATCTGTATAATAATCACCAAGAAACTTAGAGAGCTGCTTTTTAATATTACATCCAATATGCTATACACAATGAAGAAGGTAGGTATTAGGATATATCTCCAGAACAACTCCTTCAAAACCTAGATCTGTATTAATTATAAATGCACTAGGCTAAACTCCTGTAGCTTCAATTGTTTGTTGTAAAAGCATCTATAGCTTTTACTTGTTTCATCAGGCAATATACTTTGTGTAACAATTCGCAATTTAAAGTTGTTGTCAACAATAGCAAAAATGCTTAATAGTAAACAGTAAGTGTTGATAGCTGCTATATTGTCATTTAAGACAATATCTATATAGTGTTGCCAAAGTTTTTGTTGTTTAGGTTTCATATAGAATATACCTTGTAGCCTATTCATATTTGAATCAATTAATAACTGAATATACTAGTCAGGATTCTTTATATGTTCTTCTTCAAGATGCTGAAAAAACTTTGCAGCATCACTACTTTGCATTTTATGAGTTTAACGAAACTTATATATATAATTTTTTACATTATAATCTACAATTGTTACTTTGAAAAACAATCCACAAAGTAACCGAACCTGTAATAGAATATCAAAATCACAAAGTATATAGCTTTTAATAAGTTCTTTCATCTCTGTAGTAAGATAGTAGCAAAACTAGCATTTTCAGAAACTAACAAATAGTTATTTTCAAAATGTATTGATGTTAACTTAATTACAGCATTACTATTAGAATTTTTACTTTTGAACATATTCACAAGGAAAAGGCAATTAATTCTCTTCGAACCCTTATTTTTTTTCTTTTTCAAGTGGTGCAGTCTTATGTAGAACATGTTTGCCAGACCATTCACAATCCCATATACGTTGATGTGAATTATGGCTATTATCTACTCATTTTTTTCTAATTACAAAGTTATTTTGGTGAGCATAATACTCCAATGTTTCTTAATATTCTTCCTATATCTCAAGGATTCCCTTATGTCAAGAAAATCCCGGGCTAAGGATCTACAAAAATTAGGCTCAGAGTCAATAAAAATTGCAGGATCTTGCAGATCTTGCAGATCTTAACGTAAATCTAAACAAATGCCAAAAATAAAGAAATCATAAATAACGCAAAATTTTACTATGACAATCGGCCTTTATTTCTAAGTAAAAAATGCGTAGCATGAAATTTTACTTATAGAAAGAGTTTTTTATACTAAAAATAACAATATATATATATAATATTATCAAAATTGTGTGTTATATCGGATGTAGATCATTTTCTTGACATAAGGAAATCCATGTCTCAAAGATCTTTCCACAGTAAAGTTCAATGCGAGTTAAAGATAAGTAATGGCTATTGATATTCTTATAAGTATGGTTGTCACCATATAATCTAATATTAGTATCTCTTTTAAGTTTATTATCTAATTCATTATTAGTATTCTTTTCATAATCACTTTCTGTTTCATTGTTTAAATCTTTTTCATATTTACTTTTTGTATTATCATTTGTATACTTTTTGTTTCATCATTTGTATTGCTTTCTATTTTATAATTTGCATTCTTTTTATATACATGTCTCTTTTCAACTCTTGAATTATTATTGTTCACAGCTCCATCAAATAAATTTTTGTCTACTATTAAGTTAAATGATAATGATATAATATTTTCTATTTTATTAAAAAGTCTTTATGCTATTAGAAAAAGTGTAATAAAAAAAAACTGAAAATGATAAATAGCTTGTAGTAGTGAAAAGGAAATAAATAAAAATTGAAAGTTTTATTTGCAAAAAATTTAGGTTTTCATGTCTAAAAAGTTTATGCTCTACCTTTTGGAAGCTTATTTTTTTAGTTATTGTAGCAGCTTTCTTAATCTGGTTTAAAAAAAAAGAGTCATTAAGAAAGATAATATATTAAAAAATATATTGTTTTTTAAAGAACAAAAGTTGTATATAGAAGTTTATTGTATATAAGAGTAAGAGAAAGTCAGTTGTATATAAAAGTAAAAGAAAGTTCATTAAATATAAAAGAGAAAGTTTATTGAATATAAAAGAGAAAGTTTGTTGTATGAAATTAGTACTGTTAAATACTTATTTTTTATTTTATTTTTTTTTTAATCTTAGGCAGTTTCGCCAGTACTTTATTAAGATTCTAAGTATATTACTATATTATACACTTGTTTACTCCTAATTTGCAAGCCTGACATCACCCAGCTACCTAAATGGCGCCCAAGTGCAATCTGTCACACTAATTTGAAGATTACTCTAAAAACTAGGGACTGTGTTAAATTAGCCTAAGTGCTACACCAAAATGGCTTTCCACCGACTCTAATTCTATTCCATATTGTCTTCCTTACCAAAGCATCTATTCTTCTATTTGTAGTTTTTTTTCTATCTTTAACTTTCTGTAATGTGGCTTCTTTAGAGTTAGGCAGTTTTTTACTCTTCTGATAGGAATTTTTCTGCGGTTCTGCCTTTTCTTTTCTTTTTTTCCTGTTAATCTTCTTTTTATCCTGTCCTTTGGTCCTTTTTTCTAATTTTTGCTGCTTAGAGATACCTTTTCCTTGTTCTCACTCTATCATCTTTTCACATCTCGATCACTATATAATTTCGTGAAATCCATTCCACAAAACATGTATCACTGCATTTAAAGCTAGATCTGCTTCTCTTTTTGTTAAGCTTTGGTTGATAAGCTCTTCTATAACTGTGTTTTTAAATAGACCCTGAGTGTAGCCTTCTCTTCGTTCTTTTTGCTCTTTGTACATTTCACCAAATAAATATTTCTGGAGTTCACTTGTTCGTAGTTTCCCTCTTCTCTCAGATTCGCTTATAAGGGCTTGTACTGTTTCAATTGCTGCTTGTTCAATTTTATACCAATGGGTCTGCTATGCTTTGCAGCATGCTAAATGATCTTGTGTTTCTTCTATATTATCTTTATATAACTTGCAGCTACTCCTCTTATATAGGTCTGGCCTTCTTTTAACAAGGTTGCTCAGTACTGGAAGCTGATTATACAGGCACTTGATTAGGAAGTTGAGCTTTTTTCCTTTTTATATTGATATACAGTGCACTCCACTTTGGGATTTAATTCTTTTCCATAGACTTTTCCAATCCCACTTCTATATGTTGTCTCTTAGTTCGAGTACTTAACATTCTCCATTCTGCTGCACTTCTTGTATCTTCGAGTTCTTTGATGAAATTTCTTGTTGGGATTTCAATAAGGCTGTTCTGCCAATAAATATTGTATCTAAGCCTTGAACTTGCTACTACCTCTTGTATTCGTAAATTTGGTGCTAGCAACCCTTTTTTTGCTAAATGATCTGCCTCATCGTTCCATTTGTTCTTACTATGACCCTTAATTTTAATTAGTTCTAGCTTCAATTCTTTTGTGTTTTTGGCATCTATAATTTTAAGTAGCAAAAAATAGTTTTTTTGTTTCAACCATTCTCTATTTGTTCTCAAACCTTTACCTTTTTTTGATTGCATCTATTGCAGCTGCACTATTTGTATATATCTTAACTTTGGTCCTTATTGAGGCTATAAGTAGAACTACTCATATTGCTGCTAATTTGGCTCTTGTCAATGATGACCAATGCTCTATACTTAAGCACCTCTCCTGTAATTTAGTTTTTTTACTTTTGTCAATTTGCAGCCAACCTAAACCCTGTCTACATAACACTCTTCCGTTATTCATTTCTTTGAATAATAACCCATCTGTATAGAAAGTTAATACTTTTTGGTCTGTTTCTATATTTCTATCTAGTTGATTTAATAATAACCCATCACAATATTCACTAAACCTTTGTTTTTTAATATAGTCTCTCTCTAACCTATTTATATAAACTGTATCTGTCAGGCTTGCGTGTTCTAAACTATATAAGCCTTTATCTATTTCCCTCTTACTAGTTCTCTCTAGATCAATATTGTTTTTCCTAATTTCTTTAAGTGAGCTTTGTGTCATATCAAGAACCCAACTACTATTTTGCTTTCTAAATCCTTGCAATACTATAATCACTTTTTTCTTATTGATTCACTCTGTTTGTTGGGTATTGCATAACGTAATCGCTTCTTCATCTATTCTGATTTTACCTTTCTCTTCTTTACTAATTAACCACTTCTCTGTATGAAATCCTTCTTTGCTCTTGCTAATTACTCTTCGAATGCCTGGCTCGTTCTCTTTGTTGTTAACTAGTATCCAATCGAGTTTACATTTGTCTTCTGAGACCTTTACTCTTTGGGATATTAATGCTAACTTGTTTGTACTACTTGTTTGCAGATCTTGCTTTATCTCTCTTGTATCAAAGTTAGTAATCATCTGATTCTCAATTGACTTAAACCAGATTGGAACTTTTCCTTTACTAGATTTTTCTTTGACTCGTTTAAGATAATGCCACGTGATTATCTGCTTCTCTTGCATATCCAAGAGCTGTTCGATAAATATTAGATCTAATGATTTTAGCATCTTTGCACACTGTATAAAAGCTTTTTTTCCTATTATACTACATATTGTTCTACCTATATCTCTGGTTCTCCAGCTACCTTGTGTTGGTTTAATTACTAATTGCTTCTTTGCTCTCTTTACTAAGGTGAGCATTGCTTGATTATATTTCCAGAGTTTTTCAAGCACTATATATTCTTTTTGGCTATCAAAGCTCTCTGTTAAACCAGCTATTCGGTGCCCTTGCCAAATTCTTGGCTTAGTGATTTTGTCAATTATCCTTTATCATTTAATCTATTATGTAGACTTGTGATCTGTTTATTTAATAACTCTGTACCTAATACTCTAAAATTTCCTATATTCTTGTATGTAGTTATATAGTTCGGTACTGTAACTTGAAGGTCAAGTTTGCTTTTTGCTAGTCTAATCATTAGTTGGTGAATCCTGTCTATTAAGTCTCCAGATGCTCTTGATAATTGAAGTAGATAACAGAGTTTGGGTATAATACACATATTATTAATATATGCTAATTGGCTACCTATAAGTTTTTCCATCTTAGTGCTTCTACTATTTGTTGTACGATTACTTTGGCCTTTTTTTGCACCAAATTTTCATTTATTCTACAGTTAAGCCATATTCCAAGAACTCTTGTTATGTTATTTGCTCTTCTTCTTAAATTTTTTCATCTCCAAATACAATATATCTTTCTTCTGATCTGGACTCTGGATTGAAAACTATAAGGTTTGACTTTTTCTCATTTATCTGTATATTATTGAGCTCGAAGAACTTATTCGCAATCGTGAGCATTTTCTTCATCATTTGTCTATTAGAAGCAACTCATGTAGTATTGTCTGCAAATACTACAACTGTCACTTTTACTTTCTCGTTCTTTGCTTCACTCTCTTGTGACAAGTTAGGGTTTAAAGCCTCTATAGTATAGCCAAGCTCTTTGCTCTTCTGAACTCTTACTAAAAGTGGGTCATAAAAGATTTGCCAGAGTAATGATGAGAAAACTTCTTCTTGTTCTATCCTATCTTTCATTTCAACTGGGTCTGTAAAACCTATTGCTGTAATTATATGCGACTTTCTGTTTTTAAAGAGCATTAGAATCAATTCTATTGTTCTGGGTGGGATCTTTACTCTTTCTATTGTTCTTTGTAGCATTTTTAGTGATACTGAATCAAAAGCTTTCTTCATATCTTGCAGAACTACCCATAGCTTAGCATTTTTCTTTTTCGCATCTTCTGTAATCATGTTTAATATATAAACTGGATGTTTTGTAGAACCTCCTGGTAATCCTGCAAAATTCCATCCTTGAAGAATTTGATATTTAGTAAGCATTTTTGAAAGCCTATTGGTAATGATTTTTGTTATATATTTTCTAAATGTTTCTAAAAGGGCAATTGGTCTTGTGTTTTCTAAGTTATAGTTCCAACTTGTGCTTTTTGGTATTGGGTAGATTTGTGCCTTTTTCCACTCCTCTGGTATGGCCAGCTCTCTTATACAAAAGTTTGCAAAAGATTTAAAATACTCTTGAGTTAATGCACTCGCATTTTTGAGGAGGTTATATGTAATCCCTGATAAGCCTAAAGCTATACCACTTTTTAAAGACTTTAACGTGGAAATCCACTTTTCTTTTGTAATTTCGTTTTCTATATCAGAATACCAATCTTCCTGAACCCAACTAATTAAATAGTAAACTTCTGCCCAAGCTTCTAACTCTTCTGGCTTTTTGGGTAATCTTTCTTGCATTTGTCTCTCATAATATGATCTAGTTTCTTGTAGGACCTAATTTGGTTCTGTAACTAAGGTTCTATCTCCGTTTTGTTCTTTGAAAATTCTATCTATTGTAATTTTATTGCAAGGTTTGTCTAGAAGGCCACTTAGTATTTTTTCTTGTTTATTTTCAATTAGTTCACATCTTCGGTCTATACTTAGTTCTATTTCCTTGCATTTGGTAGCTTCTAGTTCTTTAGCTCTCTTTTTATTTATTATTCTCCACCAATCTTTCATATCTTCTAGCCATTCTACATAGCTTTTTAATCTTATCTCAGGCATCTTAAGATTCATTTTTTTGTTTGCTTTTCTAATGCTTGCATTGACCTCAGCACTCATCTCTTCAAAACTTTCCAAATTGCTAGCTTTTCTTATACACCTTATTCATCTACTTATCTCTTTTACTAAATTTGCTAGCTGTGTTTTGGTGCTGTTATTTTTAATTTGCGCGATTACATTGTATACTCTCTTCTTTGGAAGACTTCTATTTGCTGCCTCAAGAATACTTGTTTTTAGTAATGACCAAATTTGATTTGCCAACTTGGATGATCGCTCACTATCAACATCACTATCTACTTCTGATCTCTTCTCTAATTGTGCAAGTAACTTTTCTTTTTTCTTTAGTTTCTTTTCTAATACTTTCCTATATTTTTCTCAGTTTTTATTTGTTGCTTCATCATAGAGGTACACTGTTCTAAAATGTTTTCTGTTTTTCTCTATTGCTGCTGGTGATTTGAAAATAAATGAGCTCAAATCTAATACAGCGTATACTGCTCCATGATCACTTTTGGTAATGTATTCCATATCCGAGATTTTTGCACTTGTAAGGCTTTCTATTAGATTCTCAGATATCCAAATTTGGTCTATTCTCATTGTATTTGTACTGTTGGACCATGTATACTCCTTGCTTGTTGGATATATAAATCTAAATGTGTCGGCGAAACTGTTTTTTTCCAATCATCTATGTATCCTTGAAAGTTTATATCTACCTGACTCTTGATTAATAAGCTTATCTAGACTTGGATCTACTATGCAGTTGAAGTCTTCCATTATTACTATGTAAGCTTGTTTACTTCTTTTTATAAATAAATCTAGTATGTACTTTTATATACTCTTTTTTTTCTCTTCATCGTTTGGAGGTATATATACTACAATTACGATAAGCTCTATATTTTTAAAATAGAATCTGGCTACTAATATATACTCTTTATTTGTGTTTATACTATACAGGTATTTTTCTCAAGAAGTTTGAACTCCTAATGCTACTCCTGAGCCCTTCTTCTTATCTTTTGCTGTTTTCGACCAAAAGAATCTAAAATTATCTCATTTTCTACTTAAATAAAAACCTTCTTTTTTTCCAATATTCGTTTCTGTTAGTCCTATTATATTAATTTTCTCTTCTAGCACCCAATGCTTCAGAAGCTCAAACTTTTGCTGATTTGTTTTGAGACCATTAATATTGTGGCATACTAAGCTTAGTGTTATGTCTTTAGGTTTCATACCTTTTTCTATACTAGTAGTGTTTGCTATTTTTATGTTTACCCTAGAAGATGTTCTTTCTGTTATATCTAGCCCACTAGGTATTTCTTTTTGCAAGATAGTCATGGGCTGTTCTATCTTACTTTTCCCCTTTGATTCAACTAGGGTGCCTTTAAGAGCGATTTGGAGCTTTATTGCTCCTATTGCTTCCTTGGTTTTTTAGATTGCTAAGTCTATTCATAATCTGATTAAGCATGCTCTTAATCTCATTATCATCTTCTATAGCTTCTTGGGTTTTAAATTGTTTTCTTTTCTTATTTCCTAATTTCACTCTATTCGAGCCAGTTGTATATTTTGTTGTGTAACACTCTTGCTCTTGCACTATTCTATTTTTTAAACTGTTGAGTGCTTTTCTGATTGTGCTTCTTGACCTAGAAACACTATTTGCTCTACTACTTCATTCACTAACAAAATGTCTGGTATGAGAATTTCTAGGCTTATATAAACCTTTTGGTTTCTTTTCTATACTTTGTGGAGCATTTGCTTCTATACTACTCAGCGATCTTTTTTTGTAACCAGAATATAGATTTGAAAAATTGGTGCTATTCGTCTTCTCCAGGTGTAGTTGCCACTGCAATTTGGTGTTGAAATAATATATAGCACATCTTTGAGCTTGACTTAGCTCCTCTTCTGTTTTGAAATATATATACTCTTTTGCTTTGATTTCTATTTCGATTATCTGGAATATATACTGCTTGAACCTTGTATCTCTTCAATTGGCAGAGTAATAGGCTGTCTGATACCATTGTTGGTACATTCCAAATTGTAGCTTTAAATTTGTTTCTCTTTTCTAATTCAGCAATATTAAATCTACCTGGAGTTGTTCTGTATGTTTTGCTTTTGTCCAAATAGATCAACCAGCTTTCTTTTAAGGTATTTTCTCTTTTTGCAATGCTTGTCGTTACCTTAATATATGCTGCTTTGGATTTAAAGTTTTGTTGCCAAGCCAAAATAGTCGGTGACTCAAAATAATTAAGATATTTCTTAATTTCGTTCACATTCATTTCTTTCAGTAAATCCCATAATATAAAAAAATACTGCGAGTCTGCTGCACTTTGCAATTTGAATTCACCTTTTGGGGCCTATACTGAATTGAAAATGTCTTCATATTGCTTAAGCTTTTTGCTAATTTTTTTTCCTGTTGATCTTGCTTTAGTCTCAACTTTTTCCATTATTTGTTCATCAATACCATAGTTGGGGATACCATACTCATTATGTACTAGCAAATCTTTGACTACTTCTAATTTATCATCAGCACTATATATACTACTCTCTTGTTCTATATAATTTCTTTTTCGTGAAGAATATTGTAAATTGCTATCTATATTGCTAGTAGCTTTGGTGTCTGTCTCTGCTGTGTATGTTGGAGCAATTTCCATTTGAGTTGATTTTATGTCGCTTTTTTCAATATTCTTCTGTTTTTGTTTACCCACTATATTGTATATAGGCATATCTTTAGCCTTTGGTTCTAAATTCGCTTGTTTTGTTGCTTTCTTTAAATATACAATCTCCATAGGCTTAGGATCAGTTTCCTTGTTGTTTAAATTGTACTGTACTGAAGTATTGTTCGTGTTGTATTCAATTTCCATTAAGGTCACTTCTGATTTTAATAGGCTTTCTTCTTTCATTTCTCTGTGTTGAGCCAAGTCATAATAATGTTGAACTTTGCGTATCATAGCAATAGTATGTATTTCATCTGTACCTAAAAATTTAGTGATCTTTCTGTCTTCTTCAAAGATCCAACTACTCTGTCTATTGTATATTGTTGCTCTTTTTTCTTTTGATTTCTTGAAGAAGTTTCTGTAATCTAGTAGCTCCATCATCTTACGCGTTTCTTGTTTGTTTACACATGTGTTTGGTTGTTTTGTTGTTTGATTTTCTATTTGTATATTGTTTATTTGATCACGCTTCCTTTTTTGTATGTATTTGTTTACTTTGTTGTTTGTTTTGTTTTTGGTGATCTGCAAGACAGAGTAATCAACAAATCCCCAAATTTCCTAAAATTTTTTAAAAGTTTTTGTCAAAGATTAAGTTTCTTTGTATAGTGGAGCCCTTTGTTTATTGAGAGCAAAAATGTTCTATAAAACTGCAGTTGTTTTTTCCTTTTTTATCTTTTCCTCTTAGATTGGATTTGTTGTTAGCTTAGTATGTTTTTGCTCTATCCCTAATTTTCTCTTTGCTCCAGTTTGTGGCAGAGTGATCGTCAGAAAAAGTTCGTTAAATACTTATTACTAGTTAATCTTTTGACTCAAATAATAACAATAAAAAAAAAGTATAATAAATGAATATATATCATATATAATAGATTTTATATAATAGTGACATATTTAAATTTAACTACTTATTCTTATCACTATCTACTATGACACTATCACATGCATGCTGATTAACTTTTGTCTAAAAAAAACTCCTAGCGCATAAGCAGGCATAGAACTTGTTGACTTATCATACTTTTAAAAATTTCTTACTTATATAAATTTCAAGTAAAAATAAATTTAATTGGTCTACAAATAAGATAAATATTTAGAAAACTACTCCTAACAAACCTACTTTGACACATACTACGAAATGATAATCGTATAATTGTAAGTACAGATATATTCAATATACTTTACTTTAATATAAACTTTTTTTGATAGAAACACTCTTGAAAAACCATGCTTGAAAAGCTTGAAGTATTTCAAATACAAATGTTCTGATAAAATCTTAGGCTTATATAAATTCTTCGTTGAAAAGTCAGTATTTAATTGGTGTTTAGAAGCTTTTATAAGCAGGCTTATAAATGAAAAAACGAACTTGGATTTCGAACAATTAAAAGAGTTTTTTTTGTCTAATTTGACCCAAACAAAAACTAAAAGAACATAGATAATTCTATTTAGTTGTTTTGTTTTAATTATATTGGCTAGATAGAGATAATTACCCAGTTCTTCTTAGTAAAACATGGTATTTTAAAGCTAATCTTGATATCTATCAAAGATGTGGAAAGAACAAGCTATTTCAAATACATATTGTAAGTTTTTTCAAGAAGGCAAAAGATTAAAAACACATTTATAACAGAAGCACAAACACAATGAAATCGCTAAGGTAAGTTTTATTTTAATTCTTTTGGAATATGGTTTTCTCTTTTTTGAAAATAATTAAAATGTTTATGTTGTTGATTAGGAATGCATTTTTGAAAATGCAAAATATGTAGTATTTAACAATACAATTAGTCAAAGAATCTATAGAAAAATACAAATATCTCCACCTCAATTATTACAATTCCTGATGCCAATAATGCCGAACAAAAGAATTGTCGAATATGAAAAAGTTAAATAGTAGGTTAAGTTAAATATCACATTTGTTTCTGTATTTTCACTTTAATAATTTCTTATTTTTAGGTATATTGAGTCAATTCAGATTGTGTGTGCATCTAGTATAAATGTATTCAAATTGGAGAAACTAGTTGGAAAGGAACTTGCAAATAAGATATTCTCATACCAAAAGCTAGTACCCTCCATGTGGACAAAAAGTTTAAAAAAATATTTTACAAATGTGTTAGATATGAGTCAATATTAATTTCTTTACTTAAATTATCCAATGTGATTATACCAAATTGACATATAATATATACAGAAAACAGGAAAAGAATTCAAGTTAGTAATCCAAGAAGAAATAAAAGAAGAGAAAAAAAATAGATTTAGATTGTATTGCGAAAAAGTACTAATAGGATTGTGAGTATTAAGTTGTTTGTTAAGATAAAAAAAAAAACACATAATTACACTACTTTGATACTCTTAAAAGTTATAATTTAGTTGATATTTTCCCAATACTCTCAAGGTCAATTAAAGAATGAAAATTTATTATATACTATATTGTGTCATTGTTTATGTTTTACAAATTCACTTTCAGAACATTGAAATTTGACTAGATAGAATTATATGCATGATCAGCAAAGATAATTAAAACAAATACCAATTTTGGAATCATACAAGTGGATATTAAAGATATGCACTAATCTCTATGATTGCTATTATGTTTGGCTACTGATTTAAATACCTATTTTGATACAAAAGGGACTCAGATCAAAGATGACAGAAAAATATAGCAAATAGAAATTTTAGGTCCACCTAGTATTTCTACAACTCGCTATACTATCAGTGATATGAAAAAGTCTATACAAACTGATATATTGAATTTGGTAAGTATTCTAAATAACCATTTTGATTTTGATATGAAAATTGCAAAAGAAGTTAAAGTGTTTAGCACACAAGTTATAGATATGTTTTTTATTGCATTGTTTGTATAAAATCAAAAATACTAATTATACTTTCCTTTTTTTTTACTATTAATTCATTAGTACATCGATTAACATTGTACACCCTTAGCATACAAAAAGACAGTATATTTTTTATATATAAGCTTGCAATAGCAGAATTGCTATTTGATTTCCATTCAAGGTTAAAGTATATAGCAGTCTTGTGGTTAATAGCTATTTTCTATATAAGTGAATAGTGTAAATATACTATATAATTAATTTGTATTTCCTTATATTTAACTATTTTTGCTATTTTTAGGATGAGATAGTTTAGCAGAAAGCAGTTATAGATAAAATCGATTATATTCTCATTTCTTGCACAGGTAAATACATTCGTAATGTTTTGAAGATTCTGGCAAACTTACGAAACATATGAGCATATTGCATAATTATAGAATGAATATATTTACGTGATGTTTTTATATAATAAAGAATCAAAAATAGATTATGTAATTAATACTAATAAAAAATATTGCTAATATGAACTATATATACTTATTTTTTTGAAAATATCTTTCCTTTTACTTAACCAAGCCTCTGGCTTTTTTTAATGTATACATGTATAATATTTGCAAATATAAATTTTGTAATCTGCATTTGCTTCACATATACAGTAGGCATCAAAAGTAATGCTCAATACGATTTTTGAAATTGAATTGGTGAAAATAGCACATATGAAACTTAGTTTTTTACTAAGTAAACTGGTTTTAGTGTACTAAGTAAAAATATTCGTAAAGATAAATTACATAAATGTTAAGATTTTAATAAAGTTTAGTAAAATTTTTATTAATACATCTTGTCATTAAAACATAGATAAAAAATTTTATGATTTTTACTTAATAATTGTAAATTAAGTAAAAACTTATAAAAAAATTCTGTTATACCCTTGAGGTTTACATATTATATGTAAAAAAAACTAGTTCTATATCTTTACTTAATAGGATTTTGAATATTTCCTATTAAGAATAAAAAGTTTACTTAGAGACAAATAAAAAATTTTAATATTTACTTTGAGGTATAAAATAAAGTATTTTTTTCTAAATAATAAAAATAAAAATTCTATATCTAAGCAACTCTAGTTATAATTTCAAATAATACAGAAAAGGTTCTTATTATATTAAGTGCCAGTTCTCACCAAATAAAAAAAAATCAAGATAAGTGCTTCACTGAAAACAATTTTATCAATCACACATCAAGCAAGTAGAACTAATCCAACTTATAACTGCACTTATTTTTGCAACAAGATATTGGATCAATATTCTAATATCGGAAAAAAATTTTTAGTGCTGTTCTGCGCAGATTTGCAAAAAAATTAAATAATATTTTAAATGAAAAATCTGTACAAAACTTCAGACTTACCAGCTATAGCTAAAGAAATTAAATACATTTTTGCACAAAATTTCAAAATATAAGAAATTTTGCAGTTTTTTTGCAAAAAATTCTGCAAAAATCTGCATTTTCGCAGGTTTTTGCAGATTTGCACTTATTTAATTCTTCTGATAAATTTATATAGAGAATTTAGTAGTAAAAATTTTAATTATTATGCCATTACTGATGAAACATCATGCAGTTAGACCTGCCTATTATGTGAGTTAGAGCATGATAATAAGGAAAGTATAGAAGATAGATATAAGGCTGAATTCTATTTTATTAAGTGTAAATAGTGCGAAATTGAGATAGTTGTATAGTCCCATTATTTATATTTGCTTACATAATATTTTTTTATATAGCTAATTTATATTAACTATTTTCTAATTTAAAGAGTAGAGTGTATACAAATTACTTTTTATAGTAGTCATATAGTTGATTATTTTACAATAGCACATCAATTGAATCTATATGTTATTTATATTGTATTATCTAAGAAAATCTTGTATTATTTAAAAAAATTTGCTAGTAAAAAATCAAGTGATCGTTATGTGATATACTCTACTCTTAAATTGTTTTCAGATATATAAAAAGGAAAATGACTAAGTCTGATAAAATATTAATACTAAATATCTAAATTGGCATGCCAAATTAAGTGGGCTACTAGGCATTTTAATAGATAAAATTCAGTTGAACTTATATAAAAAATATAAAAAAAAAAACAAAAACTAAACATGTGACAATTATCAAAAGCTGTGATAGTGTTAGCAAAACTTTAAGCTCCCGATTTCAAGCCTATTACTTACAAAGTCAAACCTGATCTAGAATTAATTATTAAATCAGTTTTAAAATATTTTACATACTTAAAATTCTAAAATAGTTTTAAGAAATTGATAATTATAATTTTGTATTATCTCAGCCATAGAGCTCACTATACTCTATTTGCAATAGAAAACATAGAATTATAGATTACATGGCAAATGGAATAGAAATAGAACAGAATATTGCCTTACTTGCAACAGTTCAAGTAATAAACTTGCAATAGTTCAAGTAATAAACTCAAGTTCATGATTGTAGTATAGGCCAGTAATATATGATTGTATAAATGTTAAAATGCTTATACTGGAATTTAATATAACTGTAATAGCATATATTAATAAAGTTAATTCAATAGTCTCATTTTTTTTGCAAACTCAAAAAAAAGAAATATAGTAATCAATTCAGAGTTCATCTACCTCCTGACTTCGAGTGATAAAATTACGAGAAGGCAGTTCACAAACTATATTGTAAAAAATTGTATAAAAATAAAAAATTAAAAATCCAAAAGACCTTTCCCTTTATTATTATAAAAAATTATATTGCCAAGACAATATACAAATAAAAAATATATATTGCTATTTTAGGAGTGAATACAAATAAAAAAAATTCAAATAATTTCTGTTTTTGTTTTTGATAATTGTTTTACAAGTACATAAATAATATTTTGATCAGGATTATTTTTGTAAAGAGTATAAAGATCAATATAAAGTTGTATATTTACATATATACTTTGGGTGGGACAAAATCTAAAAAGCCAGCAAGGTGTACTAGTTGCACCAGATGGTAATAGAAACAAGTGGGCTTGAACTTGAGTTTTTAATAATTGAACATCATTTTTATTAAAAACTTTGATTTTAAAAAAATGATATGGTAAGCAGAGTATGATGAGACAGTTAAGATAAATATATTTATTAGTCTTAGGGTTTGGTTTGTTAGTTTTGGGAGTATCATTAGTACCACTTATTTTTTGTTTCTAAATACAAAAAATTATAGTAAGTAAAAATTCGTTTTCATAGTCTCTGTTAAATAGCAAAAACATTACTTTTTTTAAAAAAAATTCAGCAAGTAAATCAAGTAAAAAATATATAAGCAAAAAATATTGTTATTGCTAACTTATCTTATAGGCAGAAACTTGCTTATTTTTATACTATCTATTCACAAGATCAAAAAAACTTGCTAAAAATTAGTAATTATGTTACCCAAATCCAATGCCAGTGTTTTCTCTATAAAGCAAGTTCATTCGGCTATAAGCTCTATATACTAATGTATTTTATTATTTTTTAGATAAAATTAAACCCCCTTAGATTTGACGATCACTTAAGATGAGTTTAAATTTGACGATCTTGAAAAATGGCAGAGATTCAAAGTCTCTGTAACATTTGAATTTTGATAAAACTACTGATTAAAACCGTTATACTCATTGCCTTTATAGCCTATTTAAGTCCTTTTCTTATCATGGGATCTTATGTAATAAAAAAAAGCATGGTCTAGTTATCGTTAAATAATTGTTAATAAAAAATCAACTGTGAGAAATTAAGGTAATACTGTATAAAGTTTAATACAGGCCATTAATTATTAAAGCTGGTCAAGTTTTTATCACTATTTTAGCTTTGACCTCTTTTTTTTCATTTCATTTGAAAAAAAAAATTTTGTCTGATTAAACAATTTGAAAAAAAAGATGTATTATCAAATTTTTTTTTTAAACCTATAAGAAAAAAGAGGGCTAAAATAAAAGTGAACCTGCAAGACCATTAAATTATATAATATGACATAATATATACTTATTTTTTCTAGCATGAAAATAAATTGATAAAAAAATATAATGCTAGATATT